CCCTGAGTATTAGATTTAGAATTTTCTAATCGGGGTAGCAAGATGTCCCCTAAATATGTATAGCACCATGCTATGGGGTGGGATCCCAGTCTAAAGAGAATGTGAACTCAATGCTAGCTCTCATTGCTCTACACTTCCTGACTAAAGATGCAAAAAAGCTAGCTGTGAGTGAGTGCCAGGATAGGCTCCAAAGCTACACAGAGAATCCCTGTCTCAAAAAACCAAAAAAAAAAAAAAAAAAACACCCCCAAAAAAAAAAAAAAAAAAAAAAAAAAAAAAAAAAAAAAAGAACTAGCTGCCTCATGCTACCTCCATACCTTCTCTGCCGTGGTGGACAAGACTTTCAAGCCATGGGCCCACATCAACCCTTCCTATTCACAGCAACCACCAAAGTGCCTAATATACCTGCCTCCATTTGGGGAGGTTTCCTCCAGAGTGTGTACCATGGCTGAGACCTGAAGGGGCAGCAACATATGGCACCTGTGAAAGTCAAACAAAAGAGCTTGGGCTGACTGGGGACAGAGAAGACCGAGAGCTCTGGAGGGCCATGGAGGTTTGAGATCAAGGTGACTGTGGAAGAGGGATAAGCTGAGAGGAGTGTCCCACATGCTGTGGGAAGTGTCTAGAGCAAGCTGGGAAGTGAGAAAGACAGTCATGTTGGGGAAATTAAATCTTAAAAATAATGACATCTGGATCACCTCCCTAGCTGTGGTGCATAGGACAGATGGAGACTGGGCAGGCTGGGTTTGGGAAAAGAGTTGAAAGCCACTCTGAGGTGAAAAAGAGAGTGGACTAAGTTGGATTGGAGTGGAAGAACATAGTATTTCATGACTCATTTGCCGCAGAAGGGACCAACCTCCTCCGGGTTTTGTGGGGTGAGGGAGAGGAGTGCCTTGTAAGTTCCCAGCTTGAGTAATTGTATGGCCAGGATATTGATGCTTGTTACTTAAATAAAGAAGACCAGGAATGATGCGGTTAGAGGAGGAACTTAATGTTGAGTTTGATCTATGAAGTCACACAAACATAGATGTCCCTGCTCTTATAACCCTGCAGTCCCATCAGAATCGTGGCAGTAATATCTTGTCTTTTCACTGTTTCTCATCTCCATTTGCTCTCACTTCAGTTTCTGCAGGACTTAGGAGCCACGGCTCACTATTTAAATTCTAGCCTTGCTCACATTTTCAGCTCAGTGTTTACCCAGTGTTCAGGACTGTAGGACTTCATGGTGACTCCCACAATTCTTAGGTCTCAGCTTCAACCCCAGTGTGTCTGTGAAGATAGCCCAATTACCCTTATAGAAGTAATTACAATGAGATCACTGAGGGAGGACTCAAACTCATCACTTGGTGTTTTTGTACAAACTGGAAATTAGGTCACTGGCTGTTACAGAGGGACCTCCTCAGCTAACACAGACACAGAAGAAGGGACAGTCTAAAAGCCAAGTGGAGAGACCACAGAAGGAACCAACTGCACAGACACCTTGATCTTAACTTCCAGCCTGCAGAACTGCAAGACAACTAATTTCTTTTGCTTAAGCCATCCAGAGTATGATGTTCTGCTACGGCATTGCTAGCAGACAACTACTGACCCAGCTGTGTCCTTTTTCCGGTTTTTTGTCTAAGCAGTGGGCGTGGTTGGACAAACAAACACTAGCTCACTAACTGGCCTTTCTTTGAACTTTTGACCATTTAATGATCCCCTGAGAACTGGTCCACTTCCCAGCCTGAGTAGTCCCCATCAGTGCTTCACTGTGCCCACAGGAGCTTCTTCTTAGTTCACAGAAGAAGCAATCAGGAGAGAATGTGCTTGTGTGTTATCACCAAGTCCTAAATGTCTCAACCCCCAGCCATTTTCTCCACCTCTTTTTGTGTGTGTGCTCAAGTGTGTGTGAGAGGCTGGAACTCCCGCCCACACCCCCACCATGCCTTGGATTCCTCTCCCCCTCTCCTGCATTTGTCAAGTGTTACTGGACTAGTGAGTCAGCTTGTGAACCCCCAAATGTGCTAGGATAAGTCTAATCTCAGAACAGGATGCTCTTTCCTGGATCCCAGAATATTTCTCATCACTGTGAGAAAATAGCTAACATAATAACTGAAAAGAGGAAAAATTCACTTTGGCTAAAGTTGTAGAGGCTTTAGTTCATGATCCCTCGGCTTTATGCTTTTGGTAGAATATTATGTGTCATAGGGGAGTAGTTCACCTCATGACCAACCAGGAGGCACAGAACTGGACAGGAAATTGCCAGGGACAACACAGCATTAGAGGCTCAATTCCTCCATATTGGCCTCTCCTTCTAAATGTATACAACCCTCCAAAATTGCACCCCTGCCTGAGCACCAAGAGTTCAAAATCAAGAGCTTATAATGTTCAGCATTGTCAATGTGTGTCATTTTTTCTGTTTCCTTTGACATTATAAAAACAGCTGGGCGGTGGTGGTGCACACCTTTAATCCCAGTACTCTGGAGGCAGAGGCAGATTGATCTCTGTGAGTTTGAGACCAGCCTGGTCTACAAGAGCTAGTTCCAGGACAGCCTCCAAAGTCACAGAGAAACCCTGTCTCGAAAACAAACAAACACATAAACAAAAAACAAAAACAACCCCCAAACAAAAAAAAGACATTATAAAAGCAAACAAACAACAAACAACTCCTGCTTTTAACACAGCTGCACTCTAACTTATTGATACCACATTCACATTCTCTTGAACCCTCTGTGCTAGGCTGTGTCCTTCTCATTCTCTGAAAATGTTCCCTCTTGAGAATGGGAAGAAGAGTCAGCATTTGAGTGTTTGTTGCTCTTGCAGAAGACTGGAGCTCACTTCTAGCATCTACATAAGGCAGCTTCCAAACATTTACAACTTCAACTCTGGGGGACCTGATGCCTTATTTTAGCTTGTATGGGTACACCACATATGAGCACGAATACACACACACACACACACACACACACACACACACACACACACACACACACAAAACACAAGTGCTGTGTGTTTTGTTTTTTAGGTTTTTTTTTTTTTTTGAGTTCCCTTTTGTCAAGAAGCACTGAGCTGCAATTACTTCTTGTTCAGGACTCATACTTCCATGCTCCCTTTGCTGGGATTCCAGCACTTTTCTGGCTCCTGCTTCAAGCATGTCCCACAAGACTTTGAAACTTCTGCCTTCTGCCTGTAACACAGTCTTCTCTTTACAAGCCTTGCTAAAGCTCAGCTGAAGAAGCCTCACGTATTAGGTCTACAACAGTGGTCACTTGTTATCACTCTGTGCTTGGACTCAACTCAATGTCTCCTATTTGGATTTCAAACTTACTCCCTCTGAACAAAATTCTCCTCTTATGCCTTCTCCCCCAAACTAATGCTACTTCATTCCAGCTTTCCTAGTTCTATACGTAGCAGTAGAGTCCTTCCTTTGATCAGTTCTCAGACCAAAAGTACTAGTGGTATCATTGATTCCTCCTGTCCTTGCAAACCACGTTGGAAAATCCTGTTGCTTTTACTTTGGAACCATTTCCAGGGTCTGGTCATTTTTAAGTTAGCCATTTTGTTACTTCTCTACAGGTTAAAGTCATGATACCTGGTCCCTAAGTTTCTATCTTTGTTCTTCAAAGCCAGGCTGAGCCTTTCACTTGTCACCTGAGGTGGCTCGCTGACCTTGAATGGTTTAGTATTGAAGGGTGGGCTGGTGAAATGGCCCAACGGGTACAGTCCTCTGTTGTCAGGGCTGATAACCTGAATTCAACCTCTTGGAAACACGTGGTATAGGGAGAGAAGAGACTCTTCAAAGTTGTTCTTTGACCTCCACTTGTATGCTGTGGCATACACACACACACACACACACACACACACTTGAAACCAAATGAATAAGCAAAGAGTCAACAAAAATTTTAAGAAATGAAATGTACTAAAAAAAAGTCCTCCTGTCCTACAGAGCTGTGGAGACCTGCTCTCCTGCTTCCCTCACAATGATTCCCTCTCCACTCTCTAGTCTAGCTACAATGGCTGCCTTTCTATACCTTAAAACAGGACAAGGGGCTTTCCTGTCTCAACTTTTGCATCTAATAAGCCCTCTGCCTGGAAAATGACTGTCCCCGTGGAACTTCTGTTATGATCTGTTATGTGGCAAGCCTCTGTTTAAGTAATAGATGTCCTCTTGGGAAGGGGAGGCAGGAAGAGCTGCAGTATTTGGGGGTTCCCACTTGGGATGAAGTATTACTACATATGAGATGTGTTGCAAACATCCCATCAAGCATAAAATCCCATCACTTCAGCAGCTCCCTTGAGCAAGCAGTAAAAACTTACATTTACTGAGCAATCACTTATCATGTCTTAGGGATTATGCTAAACACCTAGGAGATATCAACCCATCTAATCACAGCAAGCCATGATAGAATGAATGTGAGTCTCTGCTTCACATTTATCTAATTCGGAGAGGTCAGTTAACTTGACACTTTAACAGACAGGACTGGGTTTGAAGTGAGACCCTGGAGAGGAGAAGCAGACTGAAGCTGAGACCTTGAAAATGGTGGAACAAAACA